ATGGTCAGAATAAACATAACAAAACTAGTTGTTTCCTTTGATCATCTTAATTCTATTTATTAATAAATTAATCCTGATGCTTCACTCCAAAAAATGACAGAGTTTGATATCACATTATATATATTGAAGTATACACATATAATTTTGAGGTATGAATATATAATATTTATTTATTTATATATTTATTTATTATATTTTTTTGAGGGGGGGGGGAGTCTTTTTAGGATGTTTTATTTCGTTTTTGGAGAGTATGCCCACTCTCTAGCAATGGTTGTCAGAAATGTTAGAAGTAGGGACCCAGTACAAAGATAGTTTCACATTTAAAACATTTCTTCTAAAAAATACAGAATCTTGTAACAAGCTCAACTAGTATGTTTAAAAGGGAATAGAACATTAAAACAACACCCACCATCAAATCCACTAGTCATACGAAACCTTGAAAAGTGTTTCCAGAGAAATGTATAATGTCAACTCTAAAATTTAATTATGGAGTTAATTAAGTGCTTCTTGCTCTTTCACAGATACACATGCTTGTTCAATCTGTCTACTGAACTAAACTTCTTTAACATGTGCATAATGACAGCAGTTTTGACATTTCACATCAAAAACAAATACCATAGCAAAAGTCATGCAGCATTCACCACCTTACATTAGGGATGGCATAGGGGGAGAAATGGGGGCTTACAGGAAAGAAGTCTACAATAGGAGGATGGCATCATGTTGACCGAAAAGCATCACAACAAGAGCAACAAATAATACAATAAAGTATTAGTTGACATTAGAATTTGTAAAATTGTAAGGCCCACCAACCTTAAAGTACAGAAGAAGAAGCATGTTGATTATTTTGCAAACCAAAGAAATGGCAGGCAATGACAACCCACCATATCACCCTTCTGTGTATCCAAGACGTATTTTGCTAGAAACGAGAGCCAAAATGACTGCCTGCAAGGCAGTAAATTAATGAATGAGGGGATGTTAATATTAAGTTGCACCTTGTAAAGAATGCTTGAATGACAAACAGTAAGGTAATTCTAGTTCAAAATTAAGTAACTCCCTTAATATACTAGATAACTGATCTAAGTGAAATCACTAAAAATAAATTTTATCCAACTAGAATAATAAAGCTCAAAGGCAATCACAAGGACTGTCACATTTCACTGAGATAAAAATGTGACAAATCATGTCACATGCACAATTATGTTATTCACAACCAGTTCAGAACCAACCTATTCTCAGAGCAAGCTACCTCAATAACATAATTCATATTAATAAATAATATTATTTAATAATAAATTTATTAAAACTCAATTATTTCTTGAAAGCTGTACCATTTTTATTTTCTTAAATATTAAATAATGAAACCAACTATAAAAAACAGAAAAATGAAGGAAAGTGGAATGCAAATTTTTGTACCATTAAACTTGTACAATACGTATATTTACTTAATGATTTCATGGAAAAATTTTTTGTACCACGTAATATAGTTTGGTCAGTAGATTAATAAATTTTGAAATAATTTTCAAGGAATCCAACTAATCAAAGAGTCTGAAATTTCCTGATATTTCTCCCTTTTTCTGACACTCCCTTGATGGTCTCTTGACATTCTCAGCCAAAATTTCATATTTCTTTCAATTTCCATAATGATGTACTAGTATGGTTGGAAAATTTAGCATTTAGATTTACTCCTTTCATATTTTGAAGTAGAGATAAAAAAATTAATGTCAACAAATTATTTTGGTGCTTAAACAAAGCGAACCAGCACTACTTTAATTGAGAACATCATAATAATTTGAAGTTATCAAAATTACTCAAATTCATAACAAAAGCAAAAATTTATTAACAAGGAAAGTTTCTGAAAATTCCACAATACCATAATTGTGGGCTACTCTAACAAATGAAAGCCATATCACATAAAAATAACGATATATAGAGACTACACATCGGATGAGCTGAACCAGCCAAAAGATTTTGAAGACCAGAAAACACCCTTTCACATTAAGCCTTCATTATTGTGGTTCAATTGAGTAGCATAACTGCTATGGTGAGGTCAGAGACCCAAAAGAAATCTTAAGATAAGTATTATAAAAATAACAAGTTAATTTAGAACTTGGATTATTCACTTATTAATACCTTTTTAATCATTAATAAACAACAACATTGTAATTTATACATATTTCATATTTCCATTAACATTTCAAACGATACATAACATTGTACTTAGAGTCCTATCATGAAGAAAATTAGTTGTCTGTACCTAGCAAGCTCAACTATGCACAACAATTGAACTCTATTACTGAACTACTATATCTAACACAACTATAGCTCCTTAAAAAAACAATGTTACAAATTTTCAAGAAAAAATACGAAGTGTTTACTGTAACAAGATAAAGAAAAAAGAAAGAAAAAAAAATACAAAAATGCCAGTATTGTAATGAAACCCTACTTCACTTTTAATATGTAGTTAGCATTCTAAAAGGTCAGGTTCTTACCATTTCACTACCTCTAAATACTTTTGTCTTTCACCAGATTTGTCAATTTCCCATTAATGATAATATAATTTATATTCATTTGCAGTCACATCCTTCCCTTTGTCTTTGTGTTTAAAAATGTATTTACTATTTGTACGTCCTTGAAAACACATGGAAACAATATGTATATTCTTCCTTAGATTAAATTACATACGAGCACCATATTTTATTTCTTCTCTCCTCCTCTCCTATTTCCACTTAGAACTTCAGGTTGACAGAATTTCAACCCCCCCACCCCCTCATCCATTACCAGACAACATTCGTAAATGTGTGTCTCAATAATACTCAGAACGACATACAGTATTTTTACCTCTTTCCTCCAAACATCAACAAATAGGTCATAAATCCATTCATTTACAATAAGAATTTGAACATTTACATTTAATACATCAGGATTTTACATTTAAGATTAATTTCAAAGTTAATTCAAATGAGATTTTTCTTTCAAAGAATACAATTGAATAACAGTATTAAGTACATACCGGAAGACACTCATCCAGTAAGTTAATGATGCTGTTGTACACTAACATATCATTTTCCATATTCAGAACTACGATTTTCAATATACGAAGAACTTTTGTGCACACAGTGTCATTTTCAATCCATGGCAAAATTTCTTCCACAATTTGTGGATATAATGGAAGAAGTGCAGGAATATTCACAGACAATAGGGCTTTTATGAAATCAAGGAGTATACCCACATTTTCCAAATCACTTCCTCTCATTAACTGTATAATATTTTCCGTGTATTCTGGGCACCTGCAAATATGAATTAAGATTAGGGATAATTAATCATATTTTCAAGATTGTGCAAATTAAATCTTCACAATTGTTCTATTTCTCAAATACCTCTGATAATTACGAAGAAAATCAACATAGGTGGGAAGGAATGTAAGTTCCTCAAAAAATTGTGCAATCTCACTCAGAAGTAAGAGTTCCCCAGTGTTACAAGCGTCAACCATGGTTGAGAAAGTTATATCAATTACAGTTTTTGATATATCAGGTGGGCCATCTACAGCCAAGGAGATTGGCTCAAGTAAAAATAGCAATTGCAACATCTACAACAAAGAAAAATTCACGTTAGTTACAACTGTGTAACATTTCCAGTAAATTAAAGGACATTTCATACCTGTATTTTAGTACAGATTCTATCATCTTGAATATTCATAAGAGCCCGAAAAAATCTTCCTGTAATGCAGCTTTTCAGATTATAAATGACAGAAGAATTACTGCGACAGATATTAACAAGAGCCATCAATGACAACCTAACAACATCCATTTCATCAGTCATTATATATTCTATTAATTTTGAAGTTATAATTCGCAAAGAGGGTTCCCTTTCTAAGATATCCATTGGCTTTGTCAATACCTGCAAACATAACATTTAATGTAATACTGAAATGTAAACTTTACAAAAAATGATTAATTGCTTTCTGATCACTGTACCAGCAAGATTCTCAACACACACAGCTTCTGGTCAAGTGTCAAATTTGTAACCAGTAACTCAGCAATAGGAGCAATAAATTTATGATTGGGTACCAAAGCATTGTGAAAAAACATATCACAGCATAATTTCTCAAATACTTTGACTGCAGCCCACAATACTCTAGAGTTTGGTTCTAAATTTGATATAAGTTGATGAAGAGACACGTATAATTTGTTGGCATCTCTGCTAACATGATCATATAGAATAATATCTTGATGAGAGGACAAATCCTGAAACAATTTACAATATACGTAACAAATGTTTCATGATCCAATACACTACGCCACAATAAGAAAACAATACGCAAAATACACACACCTCGAGATACTTCAAGAGCATCTCTGAAATTGAATCGGATTTACATCTGAAATACTCATCTGTACGAGAAACCAGCACGTTGACACACGGCAATTCAGCCATTGTAACAATCAACTTCAACTTTCTCGAGCAATATCAACCACAATTCTAAATAACACCCGTTGTTTTATACGCAGCCTCCCCAAGCGGCCACGTTAACTTTAACTGCAACAGAGCTGCATCCACTGCACCTATAAACCTCACTACATATTCGCGTTTACCGCCAACTCTTTGCGCGCAGCGCAACTCGGCTGGACCGGAGAGGGTTATAGTACAGAGCGTTTTAATAGAAAACTAGTCATAAGCGGCTGGCTGGAACCAGAGCCGAGAGTATGGGCATACAGGAACTGTATTCCTCCGTGGTATAGCAGGTTTACTAATCTGCTCCATTAATCGATTAACTTTTACATTCTGAATATCAAAGGTGTTAAGTTCTTAATGAAAAAAAAAACTCAAGATATATTAAAAAAATGTTTTATCTTACTATCCCTTCGTCTTTTACTTTTTCGCCCTGACTTCAGAAGTTGAGAAAGTAGTGTAATTGTGCGCCGGAAAACTGCAAATTTTCGACAAACGAACTCGTAGTGTAGGATCCTAGTAACGAACTATTGGTGCTACAGAATGGCACATACTTTCTCGTAGGGTTTTCTAATTTCCTTGGCGTGGGCTAGCTTTACGTTCTAGCCCCCATCCTTTTGGCGGCTGCCATCTATCGCCGCCTTAAAAATACGTTTTTACTTGAAACTTTCTCAATTTTTCAGTTTCCTAATGGTAGATTCGAAACATTTATTTTCAAATATTAAATGAAGAGTAAAATCTCGTCGTATATGGAAATTTCTATTGAAAAAATTGGAGCTGTTTCTAAGAAAATGGCGTTTAAGCGTTACTGTAAATGTGAAATTTGATTATTCTTTTTCTCAGTTTTTTTTTTTCTTTTTTGGTTCACTGGTTCGAGTCTTGTTTGGGAACTATTCCTTGTGACAATACTGTTGAAAATTATTGAAAACCATTTGAAGCAATTCTAATTGCAAATACTATTAATCAAGCTCAACCAACTGAAAGTGTCTATACGTAATTTTCGAATTTTTAATTTTTAAACAATTTTTCACATCTCTTATGGTATTTGTAAAACGTATGAACCATCAAATCAATTGTCATTCGGCGCTGATGACTATTATAGAAGTGTCAATCCTCTGTATAACCTGGGTGGCCGCAGAGGTTAAATGTTGGGTTCGGACTCAGCGTTTCGGAGGGAAGGGCCTCTGGTTCGAGCCTATCTCGGAGATAATTATTTATCACAAAACTCTGTTACCGCAGAAAAATATTGAGAATTTCACAAACTTTATTGAAAATCATTTGAAGCAATTCTACTCACATATAAAATCTATTAAGACTATAAATAAACTGGAAGTGTCTGTATGTCATTTTCGTATATTGAAATTTTTTAACAAGTTTACAACTCTCTTTTCCTATTTGTAAAACGTATGTCACATCAAATAAATTGTTCAATGTAATATTCAAGTCAATATAATATTGCTGAGCGTTTAGAAAAATTGCGAGAAAGTATGTCCTGCACCACTAGTTTTATTGGAAGGTGGGATTACTTTTAAATGCAACTGTGAAGTATGATGTGCGAAGGGTACTGCGCATTTTTCAACTTATTTGTGTTCCCGACATCATAACATTTGTATAAATAAATGACATTTAAATTAAACTATCTCGCCTAAAAACCGTCAAAATCAGTTGATCACCTATATTTCTTGATGTCATTTTCTGCGTGAAATGCGTCATTGCTGAAATGCGTATTAGCTGGTACAACGTACTGTGTGCTGGGTATAGATTCTGTGCTGTTTGGCCTTCTGCAGGCCTGTGAAGGTAACACTTGTAGTGTTTATATTTATGGCATGATGCCAAATACAAAAAAACTTGTTGTTGGCATTGACTGCCAAATTAATTCATATTTGGCGCCACATTTCAAACAGTTCAGTTTCGCTGCCTTTTGAAGGCATTTCAGAAGAAAACATCATACATTTCAAACTTCTCACTCAGCAGATTGTCTAATTTGGCTCAAAAAAGCCGCGAGAATTCCTTCACAGTAAACCAAATACTCATTTATTTCTTACAAAGGTCTCATTGATTGTCAACTGCTTCCTGTTAGTTTGGAGCGTCACCAAAAGATCGCACCAGTTCCTGGGCGGCCGCGACGAAAACATTTACCCATTGTCAGATTTCTCGAAATCCAACCTTCCTACGTAAGACGCGCCGAGCCCGTGTGAAAATGAAAATCAGAGGAGGCGCGAGCAATTTCGTGGCCATCGTGCACAGAAGCTAAGTGAAATGTGTTGAGCGCATTCAAAGTTCTATTCGGGGCGCTGCCAGGCAATTCCCAGCACCTTTCTGCAGTTTATGTGGCATCAAATTCCAAGATCCGACACCAAGCGTAAAATTCGTTAGGAAAAAGTTTATTTTCGCTCGGTCAGAGGTAACCCTGACGATCTCTAATACTCATTTTTCTTTCGGCAAAGAAACAATCTTTGCCAATTATGTATCGTTTCTTTTCCAGAACACTCTCGTCTGATGCGCACCTTCAATGGAAAAGGCGATGTTCGTTGCAGTTTCCCTCCCAATTTATTTAAGCAATATTTCGCAGCCTCAACACTTGTTTAATAACATACTGAAAGAAAAGTTCAAAAAATGTGTTGCAAGGTTCAAAGTAAAGTTAATGTTGAGGAATATTTCATCATCCACCAAATACTTCTGGTATAAAAGTGGAGAAGACTGTAATGATAATGCAGTAGATCTTATGTGTCATTGTGAAAATGACGACCATGATTGAAGTAATTATTTGGTTAGTAGTACGTTTTTTTCTTTAAGAAACAAAGTATATTACAACATTTTATATGAAGCGTCCTCTTTTTGATTAGAAATGCTCTCCTTTTCCATAATGGAAATGTGGCAACTCTATGCAGGAACAACCCAAATTCGACCTGGAGAGGGGCTAGGATTGGGTTCCGGCGCAGGCCGACAATGCTCTAATGACGAAACGAGATCATATTAAGGCGAGACTTCTTACTATTCTCCGTCCTCAATATGAACAGCTCCCCCGAAAACCTATGTTTGGTGAAGAAGCGCGTCCGCCTTTTTGTAATAGCCATGAAACACGGTAGGGTGTCGCAGGTGCTAATGCTGTGATGCGCGTGTCGCAGCTATAACTGCAATGATTTCAGCATCCAGTTGAAGATGCCGCCACCCCCGCAACAACAACCACCATCGGCGCAACATCTGCGCAAGACTAGCAACAACAAGAAAGAAAAACCAGAGACGTCTAACGGGCATTTGACAGTTCTGATGAATGTAACTGTCCGATAGGTGGGCGGGAAAGGAGATAAGTATTGAAGATATTTGGCAGCCATTGAAGCTGAAGGTACTGTGACTGCAGAATCATCACCGATTCCATCTGATGGACGGAGTCCTGGAGATTCAGCAAGACCTTCTATCGCCTCGCCTCCTTACGGCATTAGCCCTCCTAAGACTCCAATGAACCAAATCCTTATGATTTCTTCTTCCCTCTGTATCGAAGGCCTAACTTAACACAAAGAAAGCGGGGTGATCCCCTGTTCTGCCCTGTCCAAAGGGACAGAAACGTATTTGCGGGTTGACACAAACAGCATGGTACGGGTACTCTTTGAATATTCGGAATGTATTTGATTAGAAACAAAAATTAACAGCAGTCGAATTCTGTAAATTAAGTGCTTTTCTTATTTCTGTATTCTTTTTTCTTTCTAAACCAATATCTTTATTTCTTTTGTAAATAATGAACAATTTACAAATGTCTTTGGAGTGCTTATATTCTCAAATTTAGGCATAGAAAGTACTCTTTCAAACAAATTTTGAGTACCTATTGCTTCTCAGCCATACGGACTATTCAAGGAGTTTATTAAACCAAATACGCTTACAATTGTCTTAAGAGCGTATTTTCGAAGTTTCGTCATTTCCTCCCTGAAAAGCGCGCGCGCACGCACACACACACACCTTATATATAGTAACGTTTCTGGTGGTGAATTAAAATACAGATAATATTTTAACAAAGAAGTTTATTTCATTTCTTAATTATATACTAAAATTCTTGATTTATTTACAGATATGATGCACAATCTTTGTGTTCTTCACTTGGTTATTTTCCTTACACACGACTCAATACTCTTGATTATGTATTTACACTGTTCACTTCTACACTATCGCATAGTTCGATGCACCTAGCACTGTCCGGTATACTGATCACAGCCCTCAGAAATTACTTTAAAAATCTTGCTGAGGGAAGCCGGCCGCAATAATTCTTCTTAGAAATCTCGCGGAAAGAATTTTGGCTCCGAATCACATGGGATTCTCGCGAAAGGAGACATAGCTCCCGGGGACAGGAAGTATTCTCGCTGGCCGTGAACTGCATTAGCCACTTATCGGTGGACAGTAGCACTGTCACGTGCCATAGGCCGGTTTATTCCGCCTACGATAGTCGATCGTCCGCGATTACCTGATCTGGGAGACGAATGAGTTCTGATCGCCACGCTGAAGTGCGGCCGTGATAACCAGCAGCTGTCCCACCCTTGACGCCGATCAACAACCCCATCAGCTGGGCGTTCTGTACTGCCACGCCAACAACAACAACAACAAAGGGTAATCATTCGCTTCGTTCCCGCTAAAATGCGGAAGAACAGTTCCTGAGCGAAGTTGGAGAGAAGATACCATCAGCATCAATATTCATGGCGGCCTATTAATTGAATTAGTTTTTATAACGAGTCAACCAAACAAGTTAATTTTAAATAAACAAAGGTCGTACGTATTATACTTGTAAAATCACCCATCACTGTGTTATTGAAAACCACATCCCCGCTCCAGAAGCCACATGCCTGTGAGAGTAACGGTATTATATTGTAACGGTACAAGCTCATGCGCTGAAAAATTTCCATGAAAAGAAAAAAGGGGGAAAAGGCGGACGTCCGCGACGCAGCTGCGAAAGGGGGTCGTAGGTACCGGCGCCCTTTAGGCTATTGAGGCGAGGGCTTGTATGAGATTTTATGGCAGGACACCCCCGCGCGGTGCCGAAAGAGGGTTTGTCGGCAGCTGGGTCCTGGACAAATTTCAAGTGGGTTTCTCATATTCACCCACGCGACCGCTCGTAAAAGTAACCCAATGCTAATTGCGCCCTCTCGGGAGACAAATTTACGACCTAACGGTCAGCGGCGCACGTGCGGCCCGAAGTTTTTTTTTATTTTTATACCAGCAACGGACATTCTGGCCGTTGAGAAAAGGGTTGATTAAAATACACCACCTTGCTCCGCGAAATTCAACCCCGCGTATCAGGAGGACCCATGCTGTTTGAGGGAGGGGGCACCGAAGTTTGCTGATACCAGGTGC